GAAGAGACAGCACATACCTGCTGGGGCTGATCCCGGTGGTTTGAGGTGGGGACAGGGCCTCAAGCACGTGGGGCTGCCCTTCCTGGCAGAACTGCTTGAAGAGGTGCTTGTCGTCCCCGGCCATCTTGCAGGAGTAGCTCTCAATCCTGAGGGAAGACAGGAAAGACTCAGCTGGAGGGGAGGTGGGGGGTGTCTCTCAATTTGGAGAGGCCCCTGAGCTGCAGAAAAGCACCCTTGGGGGCCACATGGCAAGATGGCCCAGTTCAGGAGCTGCCTTGCCACTCACCTGCCAATGATGTGTGCATCTCCCGTTTCCACCGTCAGCTGGGAGTTTAGGGCTTCAAAACTTGAGTTTTCCAACAGCTTCATTTTTTGTACCTCCTGGCGCTGGACTAAATTCTCAGTATTACCGCTTCTAGGTTGGAACTTCCTGGCAGTGACAGAGAGAGAAGGGCCTGTTAATTGACACCTCAGAAGACGTTGGGCTCTGCTGCTGCCCACCCACAAGGGGACACTATACTCAAAGGATATCGACAGACAGGGAAGGAGGCCAGGACTGGCTCTGGAAGGCCAGCAAGGCAGTGACTCATACAGGGATGCAGATGACACTCTAGTCAGCACCCCTGAAATACTTTAGTGGAAAAGGGGAGAGTTTTGTCATATCCAAGCCTTGACATCTCCCATCTTGACCTCAACTCCCAAAATGCCACCCAAACAGAATTCCATGCTCTCAATTGTACTTGGCCTCCAGATCTACGTTAACTAAAATAACAGTCTCTGTGGAGGAAGGCAGGTGGAAAATTATCTGAGAATCGTGAGATTAAGAAGAAAGCGGATGTGGTGAAGGCGGATGTGACAGCATTAAAAGAGGAGAAAGAAAAGTTACGTGATCAAATGGTGACCCTAGGAATGTGTCCAAAGAATCCTCCTGGAGATTTTGTGTTTTGACTGCTGTTTTGATTTTCTAAGGGAAATGTGGTTTACGAGAAACGTTCTCGGGTGCTAGCGAGCATTTACTGGGAAACCCAGCCAGATGGGCGGGGTATAAATAATAAATTATTATTATTTATTATTATTACTACTTTGCTCTCCCCGTGGAGGCTGATGCATAGCCTGGGTGAGAGGCAAACACTGGTCCTGAAGTCACGTCTGGCTGGGATGGGAAAGAGGATACACGGAAGGAGGGGGGAGTTGGAAGGGACCCCCAGAGTCATCTAGTCCAATCCCCGCGGGTGCTTCAGCCTCGGGGGCGGAACGCGGCTCGGCTCGGCGGGAAGGCAGAGGATGAGCGTCAAAGACCCCCCCCCGCCCCGCGAAGGAGACGGGCCTCCACCTCCACTTCCCGCCCTGCCCGCCCTCCCTTCCCCAGGCCAGGCCTCCCAGAGACTCGGCTTCCCATGATGCCCCGCGGCACCAAGGACGGCGCCTGCCGAGGCGGCCCCCGCGCGGGGCATGCCGGGAAGCGCAGTCCCGCCCCTCAAGGCCCGGCCAGGCCCCGGGGCCCCGTGACCCACCTGCCGCCGCCGCCGCCTCCTCCTTCAGGGGCTGCGCGCCGTCGAGCAGCGCAGGCCGCGGGGGGAACTCGAAGCGGGCGTGGCCGCCTCAGCCGCCGTCGCCTCGGCCGCCGCCTGGGCCCTTCTCCGCCCGGCGGCCCTCAGGGGCCCCGCAGACCCGGCCATGGCCCCGCTTGCTCGGCACGACGAGGCCGCTAGTCGAGCGCCCGGCGCGGAGTCGCTTTCCGGGCCTCCCTGCTTCCTTCTTCTTTCCTGTCAGGCGAAGCGACCGACTTGACTCTTCGGGCTTCGAGCAGAGGACGACAACAAGAGCGAGCGGCTCCGCCCCGCGCGGGCAGCCATTGGGCGCCAGCCAGGTCCGCCATCTCCATTGGAGGAAACGGGTGCCCATCACTCGGGATGACGCATCCCAGTGGCTCCCCTGCACGCTAATCAACGGAATGTGTCCAGCCCCACCCGTTGGGATAGAGCCGGGCTCTCATTGGCGGCCGCCTCAAGGCGCTGTCGAGCCGAGCGGGGAACAAAGAAGGGGCGGGGCAGCTGTCACTCAACGGGGAGGGGCCACGCCCCTTTCCCAGAGGGCGGGGGAGGGCGCCTGTCCAGCTGCGGAATCCGGACCCGCTTCGCCAATGCAGCCGCAATTCTTTTCCTTCTGGGAACGCCAAGCATTTCAGGCAATCTTTTAAATGACCAGCATTATTCATTTCATTTTAAAAATTGCTCGCTGCTTTTTCCATATGAAGCAGCCACAAGAAAGATGGTAATAATTTAAAACCAACCTAGGATATCTCCGCAGCAAGTAAAGGTAAAGGTAAAGGTATCCCTGCCCATACGGGCCAGTCGTGTCCGACTCTGGGTTGTGCGCTCATCTCACTCAAGAGGCCAGAGGTCAGCGCTGTCCGGAGACACTTCCGGGTCATGTGGCCAGCGTGACGAAGCTGCATCTGGCGAGCCAGCGCAGCACACGGAAACGCCGTTTACCTTCCCGCTATAAAGCGGTCCCTATTTATCTACTTGCACCCGGAAGTGCTTTCGAACTGCTAGGTTGGCAGGCGCTGGGACCGAACAACAGGAGCGCACCCCGCCGCGGGGATTCGAACCGCCGACCTTTTGATTGGCAAGTCCTAGGCGCTGAGGCTTTTACCCACAGCACCACCCACGTCCCTTCTCCGCAGCAAAACCAGCACAAATTCATTGAAAGGAATGATGTTGTTGTTGTTGTTGTTGAGTCATTTAGACGTGTCCGACTCTTCATGACCCCCTGGACCAGAGCACGCCAGGCACTCCTGTCTTCCACTGCCTCCCTCATACTGGTAGCTTCAAGAACACTGTCCAACCATCTCGTCCTCTGTCGTCCCCTTCTCCTTGTGCCCTTCATCTTTCCCAGCATCAAGGTCTTTTCCAGGGAGTCTTCTCTTCTCATGGCCAAAGTCTTGGAGCCTCAGCTTCAGGATCTGTCCTTCCAGTGAGCACTCAGGGCTGATTTCCTTCAGAATGGAGAGGTTTGATCTTCTTGCAGTCCATGGGACTCTCCAGAGTCTCCTCCAGCACCAGAATTCAAAAGCATCCATTCTTCGGCCTTCTTTATGGTCCAGCTCTCACTTCCATACATCACTATTGGGAAAACCATGGCTTTAACTATACGGACCTTTGTTGGCAAGGTGATGTCAAAAGGAATAATAAAGCTCAATTCTGCTCCAGATGGCTCACTAGTCCAAAAGCATTATAGAGTGACACAGCCCTAGCCTCTGTATTGGAATAACAGGGAAGGAATATTAGGTTTGCGTCCCTCAGGAGGGAGTTCCACAAAATTGGTGCCACCACCGACAAGCCCATGGGTCTTGTCAGGGGTGAGTATGTGGCAGCAAGCCTCTGAGGAAGGGATTTAGCATGGAAGTTGGCTCCCCTGGTAGAAGTCTATCCTTCAAGCCTGCGAGATGTGTCTGTTGTGGGCAAACATATTGCAATCAGTTTTGGTTGCCCTCTTTCATAGAAGATATAGCAGTCAGTCACTAATTATTATTAATAAACATGACAGGACACTAGATCTCCTGTGGCAATTTGGATTGCAAACAAATGCAGATGTTAAGTTCTTTCAGAGGGCTGCCCTAAGCCCAGCTGCAGAGGGGTTCTCGGATGTGACAGAAGTGTAACTCCCCAAACATGCTCCTTTGCCAATGGGGAAAAACGTGCTGGTGGAAGGAGCCCACTGTAGAGCAGAGGGAGCACAGCCCATGCTCCCTGTTGACAGCGCTGCTCCACATCAGCCTGAGAGCTGGCACAAGGCCTGCCCTTCCCACCAAGCTCCAAGGGGGCAGCAGACTTTGCTCACAAGGTGCCATCATAGCATTGTAGAGCTGGAAGGTATCCCAAGGGTCATCTAGTCCAACCCCCTATGATGCAGGTAGCCTTGAACTACAACTCCCATCAGCCCCAGCCAATGGGGCCAGGAGGGCTGGGTGTTGAAATGTGGAAGGCAGGCAAGTTCTTTCCAGGGGGTGGCCGCAACCATCTTTTAAGAAGCCCAAGTGCCACGTCAAACATACCATCCAAATACAGTATATACTGTATATAGGAGGGCCAAGGCCGGATTTAGGTTTGATGAGGCCCTAAGCTCCTGAAGGTACTGGGGCCTTTTATATCTCCTTTGTCAGCAACAAACTGTTGCTGTTTTTTGTGCTGAATATATGCTATATGGCAATATATGGACCTAATAGGTCCATACACAACCCAAAACACTGTTGCTGTATGAAGGTTTTATTTTATTTTGTTTTTTATCTTCTATTTTGGAAATGTACATCCAGGTTTTTTCCCCCTTTAATTTTTTTGGGGGCCCCCAAGAGAGTGGGACCCTAAGCTAGAGCTTATTTAGCTCATAGGTAAATCCGCATCGAAATCCAAATCTATCTCTAGGAGGGCTTCGGCGGAGCGGGGTCCCCTCCTGGCCCGGAACCTCGGAGTCGGGCGGCGGTTTCCCCCCGGCGGCGGTGGGTGGGTGGACGGAGGCGCGCCGGAAGCGCCCCGCGGGGAGCCGCGCTCGGCTTCCGGTTTTCCGGGCGGCGACTCGATGGCGGCGGCGCCGGGCTGCTCGCCGTCCCCGTCGGGCCTGGTGCTGCTGGCCTCGGCCAAGGCCTGGGTGCCGCGCTCGCCGGACGCGCCCTCGGCCGGCCGGGAAGCGCAGCGCCTCTTCCGGCTCCAGCTGAGCGCGGCGCCCGGCCCCGAGCGCTTCCGATTCGGCCTGAGGGGCGCGGCGGAGTCGGGGGGCGAAGCGGTGAGAGGGGGCGGGAGGGAAGGGAAGGAGCCTCGGGCGGAGGCAGGAGGACCCCTCCCTTGGGCCGCCCTTGGCTTGGCACCGCGCCTTCCTTCTCCAAGGGGCTCAACGGGGGGGGGGTGTGGTCCTCCTCCTCCTCTCAGCCCCCCAACAACCACCCTCCGAGGCTGACTGGCCCCAAGGTCACGCCCCCCAGCAACAACAACCCTGCGAGGTAGACCGAGGCTGACTGGCCCCCAAGGTCGCGCCCACTGGGCTCCGTGGCCCAAGGGGAATTTGAACCCAGGTCCTGGTCCGCCCCTCTGGCCCTGCCGCACAGGCTTGTCTCGCCCGCTTACCAGAGGCGGCTGCCTCCTCCTCCTCCTCCCTGCCTTTCTTCCTCACAGGCCCTTGAAGCTCTTGGGCCGGCAGCTGCTGCCCCAACCCGTCAGACCGGAGTGGGTGCATTTCAGCTGCTGGAGGGGGCTGCCCCGCCGTGGGGAAGCAGCGCCAGGGGCAAAGCCCAGGCTGTTTGGGGCCTTCTAGCCGCTGTCGGCCTTTGCTGGAAAATGTCCCTCTGAGTGGCGCTTGCCTCTTTCACAAGAGGTGCCCAAGAGGCCAGCAAAGCCATCCTTTACAGGATCTGTTTCTCCCCACCCACCCCACATTTTACAGGACGTCTCAATGTATGAACAATGCTTAGAAAAAGAATTAGGTGATTCCTAAGTGTTTATTAATTAACAACAACAAACAACATCCAGGGATTTGAGCATAGAATATCCAGCTCATCTATCCAAGCAAGGATCATGGTAGCAGCCTGTTTCCGTTTCCCTTGCACTTCCATTTTGTTAAATGCACTGATTTCTTGGATCAAGTAGAAAGGCCAGGTTCGTTCCTCAACATGCTTTAGTCCATTGTGTGCTTCAAGTATGCCTGCTCATAATGTGTTGTTGTTGTTTAGTCGTTTAGTCCAGAGCACGCCAGGCATAATGTACTATTCATTAAAAACAATTACATCCCCACCTTTTCATCGCAGACAGCGGTACCCAAAATGGCCTGCAGTCAACATGTTTAACAACAGTTTAAGAGTCCTTGAGACAGTATTGGTAGTCCAGCTCCAGGCATGCTTGGAGGAAACTGATTATCTGGACCCATTTAAGTCCAGCTTCAGGCCTGGGCACAGCACTGAAGCTGCTTTGGTTAGTGGCGTTTGTGGATTGTGCCTCTTATACATTCTCGTTACCCCTATAACACCCCACCTACCATACACAGGACTCGCACTCATCATGAGGGGCTGTAAACAAATAGGGCAGAACAGGAAAGGACATGCAGGCTCCTCTTGCTTCTGCCAGTGGAGTTATAAAGACACCCCTCGTGGCTTTCCTGCAGGCATCTAGCTGGCCACTGTAAGAACAGGATTCTGGACTAGATGGGGCATTGGCCTGATTCAGCAGGTTCTCCCTCTGTTCTTAGGAGTTCCCCTTGCAGAATGGAACTTTCTCCTCCTCTCTCTCTCCCCTGCAGTGCACCATGCACCCTCAAAATCTGCTCTGGAGGGATGGGAGAACCTCTCAAGCAGTTTTGCACAGAGGGAGGAGAGGGGCAAGTCCTGTTGTGCAAGGAGAGGTCCATCCTTTGAGCTCTTCAGCCGTGGGAGCAGCTTTCAGCATGAGCTCTGATGAGGGGGAGCCTGATGAGACTTGGCTGAAGAACAGAATGGGTGCTTTGACCCCCATGTTGCTTGAGGTAAAGAGGCCTCAACAAGAGCTGGTTGGGGCTATTTGACTTTTCACTCGCCCACTAATGCTTTTCTTCCCCCAGGGCCTTGTTGAGTACAACCTCAGAGACATTTCCTACGAGGTGAAGACTGCCACGTGTCATGAGCTGAAGTTCTTAGCCCGCCCAGACGACCCCCTTGTTTTCTACTTTGAGGATGAGCATGAGGCACAGAAGTGGTGGACAGTTGTCAGCAGCTCCCTCCAGGAGCTCCAGAAAGGTCAGCTCCTGCCCTGGAAGGCACTTACAATGCCAGGGTTTGGCTTCTGGTAGTGAGAGAGGGCATGGCTCTTACACAAGCCATGGTTTGTCCGTTCTGAAGAGGTGGTCAGCAGAGGAGAGGCCTGCACTCTCAATGCAATCAGATGCACCTGCCTTGATCTGTAGGGCAGTTAGTATAGCAGGAAGGTTGAGAAAATGGGTTGTTGTGGCTGAACAGCTCTGGGGTGGGGGAAACAATGTACCTCTGCGCCGCCCCCAGTCACCCCCAGGCTCTCGCTTCCAGCTATACACCTGAACTGTACCATAGACTCCTTTTCCAGAGCTGCTTCTGCTCCTAAGCTCAGGAGGCTTTGCAGGTAGTAAGCTGTGCTATAGCCACCTGATGTCTAGCTGAATGTCAGGTGCATTTGCAGTGCCGACCAAGAGCCAGCAGTGATGAAACCTGGTGGGGCAGGAGGGTGGAGACAGACTTGCTCTGCCCTCCAGAAAACCCCCGAGGGAAACTGGTTAATTCTGCATCTTTATTCTTTGGTAAACTCTCCAGCTTATTATTCTGAAGCATAATCATTTTCTGTGTTAATGGAGTAGTCTCTGAATAGGCTCTGGTGCTCGAATCCTGCTTGCAGGTTTCCCACAGGCATTTGATTGGCCCCTGTGAGAACAGGATGCTGGACTAGATGGGCCATCGGCCTGATCCAGCAGGCTAGTCTGATCTTCTTATGTTCTGTGTCTGCCTGCTGGAGCACTTCTTCTAAAGTCTCTTCTCTCCCCAGCTACTGAGGGAAGCGGTTTCCTGACAGGACGGCCTTCTCCCCTTCCCTTGGCACTTTTCAACTCTCTGTCTGACATCGATGTCTCCCTGCCCTTGGAGCTTGCCAGGAAAGGTGGGTGGCTGATGGCACAGGACACTTGTCCACTGGCAGTGTGCCCTTGAAGACACATCATAAACGCTACTCAGCTGCTAGGAAACGTGATGTTTGCATATCTGAAATTTCCTTCTGCCTGTATCAGGTTAGGCAGCTGGTTTTGTTGCACAATGGTGATGAGGAGTGGGTGCATTTTGTGAAGTATTGTTGAGATGGTGAATTGAGAGAGAACTTGGTTTCAGTAATTACCCAAAATCTCCCCCATATTTCTATGGCTTAGAAGCCATTTTGGCAAGCAAGAGGTAAACAGATGAATAAATAATACCCATTTAAAAAGCAAGCCATGTTTACACTTCCTGTTGAGCCTTTCCTTCCCATTGAGGCTAATCCACTGGGATGGGGGTTTCATTTGGTGCCCATGCAAGCATTCAGTTATTGATTGCATTAAAAGCACTTGGTTGGTTTTATTTCCTTTTATGTTGACCTTCCCTGCGTGCCTGCTTGATCCACCACCTCAGTGGTGAGGAGTTGCTGGAATTACCCAGGGGCCACATGCAGTTAAGTAGGAGGCCGCATCCAGGGCTTGGGTTGGAGGTTCCCCAGCCGTGCTTTGCGGTTTGCCCTGTATAAGACACTCAGCATAGATGTCCTGAAAGAGCGGCTGCTTAAGCTGGATGAGGAAGAGGGGGCTGCCCTTGCCACCCATATTGTGAGCCCCTCCAATTGCCCCAACTTTAAAAAAATTTTTTTTTAAAAGTAAAACAACGAGTCAACATAAATGAAGAGAAGAGTGTCATTTATTGCATTCCTATCCCACCTTTCCTCAAGGAGCTCAAGGTGGTTGACACAGGTCCCCTCCTCCCCGTTTTATCCTCGCAGGAACCCTTTGAGGTGGGTTAGTCCGAGGGTGAATGACTGGCCTAGGTCCACACCCAGTGAGCTTTGTGGCTGACTGGGGATTCAAACCCTGGCCTCCCAGGTCCTCGCCCAAGTTCTGCTGCAGCTGAAGACAACTAAAACCAATCCAATAGCTGCACGAGGCCTCTGTGTGACTAAGAAAAGAGCAGGGTACAAATGCTCAAAACAGAATAAGATAAGAAAGCTTTTACAACTCACTTGAAAGGAAGTCTTGGGTCTGACCACCTGCAACAGCAAGCCAAGTTTGGGGCAGGGGTGGGGCTGCTTTTGAGATCTCTTTCTCAGCAGTAGGTGGCTCCCTTGGAGGTTTTCCATCGCAGACCTTGGAGAAGGGGGGGAGGCGGGAGGCTTGCCTGAGATGGGGGCACACAACAACCTGGCCAACTCATGCCTGGCTTTGTCTCCTCCTCAGAGGACCTGGCGCTCCACCTGTCCACTGCTATTGAGCTCGGGGACGAGGAGGAGGCCATGCGCTGTGCCACGCTGCTCGCCCAGCAACACGCTGCTCTGCGGATCCTGCTGAAGGAGTCCTGCTACCCCACAAGCGAGATCAGGTGGGAGCAGAGAGCTGGGCAGGGAGCTGGTGTCTCTGGAGGAGGCTGGGTGGGTTAGGCTGGGTGATTTGGGGCCGATGCCCTGCACACCTCCTCTTGTGAAGATGGCCGTTTGCGGGACATGCTGTGCTCGTCTCACTGGCCGATTCCCTTCCTTTTAGCATGAAGGTGCAGGTGGAAGACGCCACTTGCTCGACGAGCATCACCACCCGTGTCCACACGTACACCACCATTGCAGGTCTCAGGCAGAAGGTAACCCGGGCACAGCTTTTCAGAGGCGGGGATGCTGTCTTCCGGCTCCCTCCCTGGTGCAGCTTCTGGGGGAAAGCGCCAACAACTGCCTGGCTGCTTGGCCAGCTGCAGAGGCCTTCAGACTCCCACTGACCCCGTCTCTGCTTCCCCCAGGTCTTTCAGGATTACGGATTTCACCCCAGTGTCCAGCGCTGGATTATTGGCCAGTGTCTCTGCGTGGATGACCGAACCGTTGGCTCTTACGGGATTCGGAAGGACGGCGACACGGCCTTCCTCTACCTGCTCTCGGCAAAGGGCGCCCACCTCTCTGAGCAGCGCTTCAAGGAGGACAGGGACTGGGTGGTGCTGCAGCCGCCCCCCTCGCCCCTGGCGGACAACACGGAGGCCAGGCACAAATTCAGCACCTTGCCCACTTGCCTGCCCAAGAAAAGTGAGTAGGCAGGGAGCCCTTTGGGGATGGCGGGGGCCTCTTAGTCGGGGGGGGGGAGGGGAAGAGGTTGCATCTGGCTAGAAGCAGGGGGTTCGTTTCGGAACCCTCAGAACAGGTTACTCCTCTCCCCAACGGCTTTTTTGCCTGCAAGTCAAGGCAATTTAAATCAGGAAGACAAAAGGCCAAATTCAGTTACTGAAGTCCAGTTTCTCATTTTTTCATATCTTTCCTCCTCTGCGGTGCAAATCTGACCCCTAATTTACAACTAAATGGCATATTGTTAACGTTGTTTCATCCTTACAGCCAAGCTTTGCATCTCTTTGTTACATCTGGATACACAGCTCGTGACAGTGTGTGGTTAAAGGTCCAATCCTAAAACGGTATAAATTCATAAATGATGCTAATAGGAATCTGTCCCTTTGTGCTGGGGGGGCGGGTGCTTAGGTTTGGCTGAGTGAGTGAGGGACATAGGAACTTGTATGCTGAGCACTCTTAGCTCCTCCCTCTTCTTGTCCCTGTTTCTCCTTGCTTTGCTCTGCCTTGGCCCACCCCCCACCCCAAAAAGAGGAAACCAACAGCAACAAAAATGACCTGCCCATGACTAGTACAGTGGTTGTCGCAGAGCGCAACCCGAAAATATTCATCCCGAAGCTACTTCAACCTGAGGTCTGACTGTAGGTGGCAGTCAGGCCTGATGGCCTCTGGGAGTCAGGAGGACTTGTATTTCCTGAAAAGGAAACGTCTCTGATTTTTGTTAGAGTGCAAATCTGCATACCTGAGAAATGATCCAACCAGTTTTTCATGTTCATAGAAAAGCCTCCTTTAATGTATCTGGAAGAGTTTAGAAATTAACTAAACATTTATTTGTTTAACTTTATTTAAACAAAGCTTGTGAGCAATCATTAAAATCTCTCAAACAGTTAACATGCTTATATTCAGACTGATCGATATTAACCTAGCTTTTGTTGAAGAGAAACTTTGCAATTGCGAAGTTCTTAGACCTTCTTCTTCTAAGCCACCTTCTTCCATTGCAGGTGTGAAAAATTCTAACAGGAAGAGGGATGTTGGTGAGAGCAGCCACTTCCTGGGAAAATTCCTCCCTGGCCACTCGCGAGCCCCTCCTCCGCCCCCGGCTGCCGCCCCTCCTCCCTCTCCCGTGCCGGTATGTACTCTCTCTGCTAAGTGGTGAAACTCAAAGGCAGCCGTCTCCCCATATATATGCCCCCTCTCTCTTTCCCAGTCCCTGGGCTCCCTGTGGCCTTGTCTCCCCTCACCCCGTAGTCTGCTCAAGAAAGGGGCCAGAGCGCCTTCTGGGGAGGGGGGCCTCATCGCCCAGCAGGAAGCACAAGTGGGAGAGGGGTGGTCGTGGGGCACGTGGCTGCATCCTGGGCTCTCCTTGCAGGCGCCACGTCTAGCGGTCTCTTCCTCCTCCTCCTCATCTCCCATTGCAGACTGGCTGGTCTTGCCCCACCTGCACCTTCATCAACAAGCCCACCCGGCCCGGCTGCGAGATGTGCAGCACAGACCGGCCTGCCAACTATGTGGTTCCCGGGAGCTACAGGCCGGATGAGGTGGAGCTGTGGCGGATGCAGCAGGAGAAGGAGGGCATCTTACAGTACCAGAAGGTAGGTTCGGGTAGCTCCCTTCCTGTGCCTCACAGTCCGCTGGAAAAGCTCCCTGCAGGGGTCTGAAGCTTTGTGTGCTGCTCCCAGCTCTCTTGGCTCTTTTCTCTAGCTCTCTCTCCTTATGCAGCTCCTTAATGTGGCGTTCCCAAAGCAAAGGAAGGATTAGACTCTGATTAATAGAATACACACAAAGGCTTGACCAGCAAGACTCTGGGAGGAGTGTGTATAATAATTCCTGTCCACCCCCTTGGCCCAGGTTGCTTTATTCACAAAAGAACTTTTTGCACAGTGCTCATAAGAACCAATCAGATTTCCTCTGAGCGTTTCAAAAAACCCCATGTGGGACAAAGTTAAAGTTAAAACTACAAAGAGCTAATTTCGTACCTGAGCATGCATATGTAATTCAGAGTAAATAAAGGAGGAAGCCAGGAGGAATGCTTTTAGGGAACTCCAGAGGTCATAAGCAGCGATAAACAGGAGAGGAAGGATAGGTAGTATTTTCCATCTCCTTGTGAACGATTAACAAAGTACATCAAAGCTACCTTCTAGCTTTATGACCCAGCATGCCTGATGCCGCAGCCGGCAACTGGTCTGTGTCCTAGAATGCTTATATGTGCCTGTCAGGCAGAGAGAAATGGGCAGGAGAGGGAAAATGGCCTAGATGTAGAAGCTTCTGGGATTGGATCAGAAATTATTGTCAATGTATCAAACCCAGTCAACGCAATGTTTTCATCACATACACGATGGCCTGATGCATCTTTTATAATTCCTCATAGTAATCCCACCTCTGGATAGTTGCACTCCTACACTTAAGAACCCCAAAAGTGTCCTGCAGCAGCTGGATGAGGCCAAGGGGAGCCTGTCCAGCCCAGCCGGCTGTCGTCCTAGTGGGCAACCAGCTGCCTCTTCTGGGAAGCCCACAGGCAGGACCTAAAGGCGGCAGCAGCAGCAGCAGCACTCTCCCCACTTGCGATTCCTCCCAGCACCTGGTGTTATTCCGAGGTCTTTGCTGCCTACAAAAGCGGGCAGGAAACATCGTCATTGTGGCCAGCTCCCCAGCTGTGTTCTGGAGGCTTTCAAAAGTATTCCCCACTTGAGAGGCACTTTCTGTTTCAAATTTGCTTGTAGAGTCTCCATGCAGATTCTTCTTAATTCTGGCATTTCTAGTTAGATGATGATGGTAAGTTCGGCTTATTAAATTTATTGATCACTTCACCAAAAGGAGTGCCAAAGCTAATTACAAGAGAAGTGCTATAAATTTACATCATAAGAAATGTGCTAAAAAAGTGTTCATCCAAAATCACTTAAGTTCTGCCCTGGGGTAAGTTGCTGCCTGCCCAGAAGCCATTGTGGTCTACGAGAGGAGTATAAATTAAGGAGCAAAACTGCTGAATGGGGTGGAAGCAGGGTGGAAATGAGCGTGTCCTGTTTCCAAGGCTGCAGATGCCTGGATGGTCCAGGATGCTCCTGAGAGCGAGGTCAGGTTCCCCCTTCCCTTCTGTTATGGCTGACATCACACCTCTGAGTTTAAACATCTTTGGGCACAATCTCTGCCTGCAAAGGGAAGGGAGGGAGGAAAGAGCCCTGTACCTTTCTCATGAAGTTGTCTCCCAACGTCATGGTGACGTCAGCTGGTTGACAGATGGGGAGCTAAGGGTCTAACATGCTGGCCAAATCCTCCCCAACTATGTAGGTGATGTTTAGTTCTTGCTTGATTCATTTTCTTAAATAATGAGACACTAATTATGATTTGGTTGTCCCTTTCAATGTTTCGTCGGTGGTATATTTTTAGTGTATTGTTTTCGTCACATTTCCTGTAAATACAAAAAACATGTTGCTGTCGAGTGCACCAGAAAAAGAATTTCAAAATTTCTTGGGCTCTGTCCTTCTCCTTCTGTGCTTTCCAAGGAGGGTGGGCTCTCAGGGAGGACTGCAGTCCATTCTGGGGTGTGTGTGTGTTGGTGGTGGCGAAGGTGCGTCAGGCTCCAGGCAGCAATCTCTGGCGGCAGCAGCAGTGGTGGCGGCAGCACCTGACGACTCTCTTCTCTTCTTTCTTCTTTCTCTTGTGGCAGGAAAAAGGAAGGAGAGAAGACGGTTCCGCTGTGCCTTGTGCCCACAGCCTGGGAACCCCGGACGACTTTATCCACCTCTCCTCGGAGTTCTCATAGCCCTCCTCAGAGCCGGGGCCGCCATCGCCACCACTGCCCCTCCCAGCCCTGCAGTGGGGACGTGTGTTAGTCCCGGCTGCAGCACCAAGGGCTGCCAAGATGAGCCAAGCGGACAGTGAAGCCCAAGGGGCAGGGCAGGGGTGGGCTTCTGTGGTTGCCCCTCATCTTCCCCTGCTGAGAGCAAGCAGCTGAGAGTCCCTGCTGGCCCTTGGCGGCTTCACTGGCTGGCGGGGGGTGCGAAGCCATATTGGGGGGGTGCTTTGAGAGCCCCCTGCGACAGCAGCAAGAGCTGCGTCCCACCTGAGTGCAGCCATGCAACGCTTGTGGGTTTGCCTAGGCTCCCCCCTTGCCCCTCCATTCCAACTGGGTCTTGGAGTTCGGCCCATTTCCCAGCTCAACTGGCAGCCGCACAGAGCCTCCCTGCCTCTCGCTCATGGAAGACTGGAGCTGCGTGAGCCTCAGAGGCTGGAGCCAGGTCGGTCTCCTGGGCCACGAGAGCCCCTGCAGTGGGGCTGCCACCTGAATACCATGAGCTGTTCATAGGCTGTGACCCCCACCATGAAAATGTGTGTGTGTGCACTGTTTGCCCAGCGGAGGCAGTCGATCTGCTGTATTTGACAATGTGCATCGGATCTGTGGGCTTCCTGCCCAACCCACGGAGCCCGTTGCCCTGTGAGAGCTTCCTTTTTGCCCCGCAGTGCCTTCCTCCCTCAGTTGCCTCTGGCTCTCCTCCGCTTTGCCCTCAGGCCTGCACAGCCAGAGCGCCGTTGCTGCTTGCCGGGAGCCTCCCGCTTGCTGGCTTTGTGCTCCTCGCTTGGTTGGGGCCTGCGTTGAAGGTCTCTCCCCCCTCTGCCCCCCATGGAGGCTGCTCTCCCCGTGTGCCTTTGACCAGGAGAAGCCATGGCCTGCCCAGCCCCAAAGGTCAGGCAACATTTGAACCGCAAGGCCAGTCTCTGCCTTGGGGTCTTGCTTATGCTGAAGCTGGACTAGAAAGAGAGACCCTCTGCGGGACCTCTGCCGTGATAGCACTTTGAAAGAGAAATGCTGTAACCCCCTCCCCCGAAGGTGGCTGTTTCTCAGTGGGTCAGGGGGTGCTGCCGCCTGAGCGTTGGGGGTCTGCCCCAGCTCCTGCTCGTCCCAGCCAGCAGATCTTGGAGCAGGTGGCTCCCCTCGCCGTGGGGCAGTCGTTGCTGCCCTGGCCCCTGATGGGGCAGCAAACGCCCTTCTCTCCCTCTCTGTACTGAACACTGATTATTCAGCAGCAGAAGTTTCGGGACCTGTTTTGAAATGGCTTGATTTCTGCATAACGTGTTTGTAAATTTGATTTTTTTAAAAATGAATTGGTGAGCAAATCCTTTGTTCTATTAAATGATTCATTTGGGCTTGACGGTCCATCCTGGTACTTCTCTGTAGTGTCATTGATGGGGAAAGGGGGCAGGGGCTGTTCAGGAGGTATGCGTGTGGGTGGGGGGATGAGAGAGGGGGGGTCCTCCTGATCCAAATAAGTCTCCCCACTGTCCTCTCTGAGCCACAAAGTGGTGACTGAGGGGTCTCTGCTGTGAGCTTCCCCTCAAGAGAATTTCGGTGAGGCTCTCTTTGCCACAGACGGCCCTTTTGCCTGCAAAGGAGTTGCTACAGCCACTTCAAGGGTCGGAGCAGCCTCACTGCTTCGGGGTACATGAAAACAAGCCACCAAAAATGGGACAGCAAAAGAATAAAAACGTATCATAAAACTGAGCACTGCCTTAAATTGTTTGCCGGAACAAGGAAGTATTAGTCATGTGCCTAATTTCAACTAGCAGGGAGTTCCACAAGTTCAGGCCCACTACACGGAAGGGGCAGTAATTAAGTTGTTGCATGGACAATGAGGTCTGCTTGCACATGGAGTTTTTCCCCTCCCTTCATATCCCTCACCCGCTAAATCTCTGAAGGTTTGGGGGATACCCCAGAATGCGTTCAGCAGCCCCACAGAGGTGTGAGGGGAGAAGTCCTGTTGTGCAAACAGACCCCCACGCCTAGCACTACACTGGATTCCACCCAGTGTTTTATTCTGTCACGGCTTTTAAAACTTTGCTAAGTTCTGCATATTAAATATTTTATGAACTGCTATGAGACATTTTGCAAAAAGTGAGGCACAATTAAACAAGCATAGAGGAGGGAGCCAGCAAAAAGCTCCTTCGGGGGTTGGACTAGATGACCCCTGGGTTCCAACTCACTCAGTTCCATAATTCTGTGAATGCTGCTGTGATGTGCTTGCCAGACATCTCAGGATCCCGATTCCCTGAGAGTTGGAGACTGAAAGCAGGAAGAAGCTGTCCTTCTCCTCTGTCCTTTCTAGAGCAGAGAGCCACTTGGAATGTAAACAAGCCCTATAATAAAACCGCAGAAGAATAAAGCGCACCCATTGGGTTGGGTCAGCAGCAAAGGCCTTCACAGGCCTGAGCAAGCAGATCCGTCTTGGCAAGATCCTGCGGGTGCCAGTTGCCCTGGTCAGGGGAGGGTCTTCTGCAGGCGGTGAGGTCACCCCCTTTACAAAGTCTCGTTCTCCGCCTTGCTCCCTCGCCAAAACATGCATGCAGTTGCTGGACTGCCTTAGAGGGGGTGTTGCAAAAGGGCTCCTGAGATCAGGCACCCAAAGTGTGCCTTATCTTCCAACATTCTTGCTGCTCTTCAGAAGGTGATGCTTTGAGACACCTCTTTGGGATCACCACCTTTGTTTTATGCCTCTTCCCAGAGCGTTTGTTCCAGAATCTTGTATCCTACTTTTCCCATTAGGCTTTTCTGGGTGGCACCTTCACTCCATTTCTGTCATGGACCTGCTGGATGCAGAGGAGTGGTGCGAGGCTCCAGCCAGGGAACTCCCAGGGGAAGAAGGTTCAGAGCCCATGAATTGGTGGTGGGACAAGGATGCCTGGTCAGAGGGAGCAGACTGGGAGCAGGAGGCGTTGGAGGCTGAAGAGGCAACAGGGCTTAGTGAGCAGGAAGAGGCTGTGGCAGAGAGCAGTCCAGAAGCAGAGGCAGGAGACAGAGGGGAGACCGGCTGCTGAAGAGTCCAGGGGGTCTCTCCCTCCTGCTGCGACTAGCTCCCCTCTCCGCTGGTCTCCCAGAACATGCAGAGAAACGGAAAGGGCAGAAGAGGAGGAGAGCTGCCACAGTCTCTGCTTGCTTGAAACAAACCCTGGAGAGGAGGGGACTTCGGCAGCTGCGGGGGTCTTCAGTCCTTGCAACTGCCTTATTGGGGCAAGACCTGCTGGGGAAAGTTGCTGAGATCACTGGGTCTGAGCTGTTTTGGTCCCTTGAATAAAGAGTTACCTTCAACTATACTGGGGTTTTTTTTAATTGCTGACCTTCAACCGACTCCGGCTCGTGATAATATCTTTAGGCACCAGGCAAAAATGTTCCTCCTCCACTGTTAAAACAATCTGCGGCCTGTTAAATGTGCCTGGGGGTGGGCAGGTTGTGTTTTTCTTATGTTATGCATTTTGCATTTTTATGTTGTAAACCACCCTCTGATCTTTGGAGGATAGGTAGTATAATAATAATAATAATAATAATAATAATAATAATAATAATAATAATAATAATAAAATAAAATAAAAAAATATAATAGTAATGGGGCTTCTGCCCCTTTTTGCAGAGTTAGCTGACCCTCCAAATCTCACCAGCCTGGGTGGTGGGTGTGCCCAGGCCGAGCCCCCTACCCACCTTTAACCAGGGGACTGCGGCCTGCCTGCTGGGCAACCACCACCTGCTCCTCTTTGCCCCCTCCAGGCCCTGGAGCAAGAGCGGCAGCAGAACTTCCAGCAGTTGCAGCAGCTGGACGAGGCGGCGCTGGTGCCCAACCGGGAGGAGATTGAGTGCCGCATCTGCTACCTGAACGTGGAGCCTGGCGAGGGCGTGCTGCTTCGGGAGTGCCTGCACAGCTTCTGCAGGTAACCTGGCCTGCCTGGGGCAGGAGGGACTGGGGGTGCGGGTGCAGGAAGGAAGGGTGCTGTGGCCTGACCCCACTGCCGTCCCCCCTTCTCCCTCTCCAGGGACTGCCTGCGCCAGCTGATCAACTGCAGCGAGGAGCCCCAGGTGGCCTGTCCCTTCCGGGACGACTCCTATGCCTGCAGCAGCCACCTCCAGGACAGGGAGATCCGGGCGGTGAGTCCGCAAGGCTCAAGGATCCCTCCTGCCGGGTCCCTTGGGCAGGCTGGCGGGGCAGCTCAGCTCCCCCTTGCCCTGCCTCTGTCATCGAGAGCGGTTGGAGATTCAGAGTGGCATTCTGAGCAGGCCAGCTCCGGAGGTCTTTTTTGCAGAGCTCGGTCCTCCTGCAGACGGGGGGAGTGGAGGAGGCTGCCATGGCCAGACGCTCCTTTGATTTCCACCCCCTTCCGGCCACGGAAGCCAAGGGGTGCCCCCCGGCCAGATCATGCCCTGCCCTCCCTCTCTCAGGGGCTCTGAGCCGGCTCCCTGGTCTCCGCAGCTGGTGTCGTGGGACGAGTATGAGCGCTTCCTGGAGCGGCGGCTGGCCGTGGCCGAGAGCCGGGCCCAGAACAGCTACCACTGCCAGACGGCCGACTGCCTGGGCTGGTGCATCTACGAGGACGACGTCAACGAGTTCCGCTGCCCCATCTGCTGGGCCCTCAACTGCCTCGTCTGCAAGGTGAGCCCAGGCAGGGGCAGCACTGTGCCCTCGGAGGGCAAAGGAGGTGGTCATGGTAGGAGTCAGCCTGGGTCGACACATGCAAAGAGCCTGTTTGCAGGGGAAGGGCAAGGCCCCTTGGGGATGTTTCACCACATAAAAAGGCCCTGCAGGGAGGTGTAAGAACATAAAGAGAATCTGCTGGATCAGGCCAGTGGCCCACCTAGTCCAGCCTCCTGCTCTCAAGAGTGGAGAAGATGCTCCAAAGGAAAACAGGCAGCAAGATCTGAGCACAAGAGCAACTCTCCCATCCAGTGGTTTCCAGAAACTGGTCTTCAGAAGCATCACTGCCTCCGACTGGAGGCTGAGCAGAGCCCTCCTGGCTGGGCACCATCAACAGTCCCGCCCTCCATGAATTTTCATCCACCTTGGTGGCCGTCCTCACCTCCTGCGGGTGGGAGCTCTACAGTTTAACTAGGTGCTGCCAAGCTCTCTGTCTCCAGGTTGTGGCAGCTTTTGACTTTCTGAGAGTGACAGTTAAAATTGGTGTGAGGCGATGCCCATTCTGCCGTCTGTACGTGTCAGCTTGGTCTAAGACGCCTTGGCCACTCAGGGAGGGTCCTGGGGCTGCTGCCCACCCCACCCCCACCAGTCTGAGCAGCAGGAAGGAACCCTTTGCAGGGACGCCAGGGGTTTGATTCTCTGCCCTCCACCCGCAGGCCATCCACGAGGGCATGAACTGCAAGCAGTACCAGGACAAGCTGCAGTTCCAGGCTCACAACGACGCTGCTGCCCGCGAGACCAGCAACATGCTGAAGGTGAGCTGGCCAGGAGGGGGAGGGGGCTGTATTTCACGGCAGGGGCTGGGGCCTGCCCGCTTCTTCCCACCCCAACAAAACATTCAAAGCCCAAGTTCCTTGGCATGGTATTCAGCCCTATCGCCTGGGCTGTGGGCACCGGCAGAGCCAACCCTTGGGATACCTTGAGGGGATCAATGCCGGGGGGGGGGGAGAAGGGGATCAGCTCAAAGGGACTGGACAAGGGCCTGTTCTCCCCCCTACAAGACGGCCTCTGGGTGCACTTTCCTCTTGGCACAAAGGGCATGACGGGGTGGGACTAGATGACCCGTGGGAGCCCTTCCCCTCTATGGCCACCCTCTCTCTGTCTCCGCCAGACGCTGGTGCAGCTAGGAGAGGCCATGCACTGTCCTGTCTGCCGCATCGTGGTGCAGAAGAAGGGGGGCTGCGACTGGCTCCGCTGCCCTGTCTGCCAGACGGAGATCTGCTGGGTGACCAAGGGGCCGCGCTGGGGGCCTGGGGTAAGCGCAGGATGGAGGGAGGGAGCGGGCTTAGGACGGAAGCTGGCGCGGGGGCTGGCACACCAGACAGGAGGAGGGGCGAGAGCCAGGCTTTGCCTCCAGAAGAGACTAACGGGGGGCCTGGATGAAAAGGGGGGCTGGGTGGTCAGCTGCTCCCAGTCTTCAAACTGTCCAACAGATGATGTGGCCCAGACTGCTTTGCAGTGTGCAGAGGGTATCCCAGTAGAGAGATATAAGGAGGGGGTGAGGGTGGCCAGAGGATGGGAAGTTTTAAGGGCTTTCTCAGAGGGAGATGGACTTCAAGCTGAAGCAAGTCTGAGGCCAGCAAAGACCTGCCTTGCAGACCTTGGGAGACAGGCTCCTTGGGAAGTGAGGCTTGGAGGCCTCCAAAGCACCAGATCCTTAGGCAGCTCCACTCTGCGGAACTCCCTTCTGGCTGGGCGGCTGGTCTCCCCCTGATGCGCTTTGCCCTCCTCCCTGGCAGGGTCCCGGTGACACCAGTGGAGGCTGCCGGTGCAACGTGGATGGGGAAAGGTGCCACCCCCAATGCCAGAACTGCCACTGAGCGCCTGCCTAAGGGGCATCAGATGCTGCCAGGACTCCCGTTGGCAAGGAAGGAGCCTCTGCACCCGGAGATGAGAAGCGGCCCGTTGGAAGAGGCCTCAGCAAGGCTGGCTGCTCCCTCCCCAGACTTTAGAGGATGCAGCAGATGAAAGACCCACCCGCCCCACCCACTGCGGCTGCAGCAGATGCTCTGCCCCCCACTCCCTGCACTGACCTCCGAGGGGCGGCCACGCTCCCCTGCCTGAGGGGAAAAAGGGGCTGCTTTGGCCCTGCCCCGCCTCCGCCCCACTGTGCCTTTGAGTCCCATCCCTCACCCCTTTTGCACTACCAGAATCTCACTCCGCGACCCCCTGGCCAAGGAGACGGGGCTCCCCAAAGGGGTCCCACTCCTGGAAGCACCCTTGCCTCAACTGACAGCCCCCGGCGTGGGGTAACAAGCTTTGGGGGGCAACATCAGCACCAAGGAAGGGGGAAGGTGCCCAGGATGTATGCTGCTGCACAGGAGGGGTTAAAACCCCTTCAATAAAAAAGAAAAAGTATAAACACGGGGCATGCGCAGGAGATTTTTTCCCGGGGTGTGTGTGGGGGTGTGTATAAAACAGCCACTCAAGACAATCCATACGATGTACTACCTGGATTTCAACACAGACACCGCCGCTTATTTCTGGTTGAAGAAACGCGTTTTATTGGGTGCCCACCCAGGGTCCTCTTCCCAAGGCTTTGTGGGTGACCGAACGGATGGAGACGTTAAATAACAGCAAATGCATGGAGACGAGCGCCTGTCCGCCTGCCAGTCTGTGCATACATTCCCAGGGCAGTAGAGGCAGCGCAGCTCAGGCATCAGAGAGAGGTCCGCCCCACCGGCAGCATGGGTCACTTGGGGGGCCGGTAGGCAATCTTCCTGCTCTTTAGAACGGACCACCTGTGCCGCTTCAGGTAGTAGATGAGGGGCAACAGCATACCCATAATCAGCATCATCTGGGGGGGAGAGACAGCGGGGCGGGGGCAGCATAAAGTCACTTTTCTTCAGAATGATTTCAGGAAAGGAATCGCTGGAGTCCCCACCCCCTGCCCTTCCTGGGAGAGCAGCGCACAGGCAGAAGGGGGCCGTTTCAGCAGGCCTGTTTGCCTGTTCCCAGACCTCCCACCGGCTCGCTCTCGGGGGGCAGCCAAGCTCCTGCCGCCTGGAGGGCTCCCTACCCCACAGGGAGAGACAGACCCACCTTCAGGCCCATCCGCTTGCGGTGGTCGTGCTCCGGCTCCGCCGCCCAACGCAAGAAGGTGCAGACGTCCTTGGCAATCTGCGACATGGTGGCCGGGGTGCCTGCGCAGGAGAGGGCAGAGGTTGCAGCCCTTTATTTTTATTCCGCTGTGGGGCTCCACAACCGGCCCAAGGGAAGTCCTGCCCGGCCCCACTCACCATCCTCATACTCCAGGATCTCGTTGTAGATCGGGGGTGCCATGCCAATCGCCTCTCCAGGGAAGAAGGGGTTGTAATGAAGCCCCTCTCGCAAGCTCACACCGCCGGGTGGATCACAGTAGCCAGTGAGGAGGGAAAACACGTAGTCCTTCACCTCCGTGCCTGGAAGGGAAGGGAGGCTCAAAACCACCAAAGGCGACTTGTCTCCTCCGCCAGGAATAGCACAAAATTGTGCCAATGTGCCAGAGGCCACCCGCCTTACCCCAGTCTTGGTTTGGGCAGCGTTACCTGGCATTGACGATGTAGCTGAGGTCGGGGGGCAACGCCCCGTTGTTTGCAGCCCGTGCTGCTTCGGGATTTGGGTAGGGCTTGGGAAAGTAATCCGAGAGCTTTCCAGGCCGCGTGAACATCTCACCATCCTCGTTGGGTCCATCTAGCACCTCAGCCTAATGTGGGACAGGCAGACTTGAGTGCCAGAGTCCCAAGCTGCCCCAGGGAGCAAGGCTTCCCCCCATTCTCCCCCCCCCACTTCCACTATGATTTGGTCTCACCCACCCGCCCTCCAATACCGCCAACCAAGCCGTCCATAAAGCCAGCCAGCCCAGGAGAGCCCGAGTCAGGGACCAGCTGTGCAAGGGGCTCCAGGACATAGCTTTCCCAGCCACAGCAACCCCAGTGCCCCCCCACTCAAAGCCTACCTCTTCAGCCAGGGCCTTGGCTTCCGCTTCAGTGTGGCTGACACCAATCAGGTTGCGAAAGGCCAGGTACTCCATGCTGTGGCAAGCGGAACACACCTGCTTGTACACCTGGTAGCCACGCCGGACGCTGGAGACAAGCCAAAGAAGGTTCTGGTGTGTTTATAGCCCCCCTTCCAGTTATAACCCTCCTCTGACAGCTTACAACTAATAAAATATATCAAACAATATCTTTTAAAAATGAAAGAAAAACCAAACTAAGTCAAATAATCAAAGATAGCAGCAGCCAGGAGGGAGGATGAAGGCAGGCAAGAGTTTTCCTTCCTTCTTGGAGGATTGGGGTGGCGGATGGGACACTCTGGGGCAGGCGTCAGCAACCTAAGGCCCATGGGCTGGAAGCAGCCCGCGGAGGTCGTTTGACCGACCCACGAGCCACCCCTGAATCGAGCTGCCTGCTCTCGTGCTGTGCTAAACTGGCACGGCACACCGATTCACTTCCATGGCGCCGAAAATCGCATCTGCGCAAACACAGACGCTGAAAATCACGAGTGCGCGATTCAGCCCACAGAGGGATCTCCACGGGACTGATCCGGCCCAGCCAAGATAAACCTTCCTGGCTCTGGGGCAACTCCCCCAGAGTTCTCCCCCAGGACTCTGCCCAGAGCAGGCAGGAAGCGATAGCCCCTATGCAAGGGAATGGGGATGTTGCACCCACTGCTGAAAAAAGGGTACAGTCAGTGCCCGGGTTGGTGAAGAAAGGTGAGAGCACAAAGCAAGGCAGGGCAGGACCGTGTGGACTTGAGGAGAGAGACAACGGGGTCACAGTGACAGGGAATAAAGCAGCCTTTGCTTCCTGCTTGGCGAGAGGGTGGGAGACCCAGCAGGGAAGCGGCTCCAGCGTCCTCACTGAGGTACCACTGTACAGGCCTTGGTGGTCAAGGGGGTGGCAGGTCCTGGCAAGTGCCAGCTGTTGGAAGGGCGCTGACAGAGAGGAGCTTTAGTTCTGATCTGTTCATCTCTGGGGCTGGGAAGAGGAAGCAGAGCATGGGGGTGGGGGGAGGGGAGGAGCTTGTGCTTGATGTGAGTCATCCGACTGAGAAACCAAGACAGGGACAAGGGCACAGGGCAGCCACTGGCACAGCCAACACCACACACCTCCAACGGCTCCCTAGCAGGCTGCAAAGGGGAAGGGGTGCCCCAGTTCCCATAAATCTCCCCCCCCCACTGCTCTGCCTCCCTCGCCACCTCTGCCCCGTCCGCACCTGCTGTGATCCAGGGACGACAGCATGCCGTTGTGACTCCAAGGGTAGTTGGGGGGGTGCAGCTCCAGCTCGCCGGCATTCACTGCGGTGTGGAGGGCCAGGGCCAGGCCTGCTCCGCCTGCCGTCAGCACCCCCAGCGTGGTCAGCGCCACCTTCTTGCCTCGGGAGAGACCTGCCAAGGAGGTCAGGTTGGCCTGGGGGGAAAGGACAACAGAGTGAACTCGTGGGCAGACCCTGGCTGGACCGATGTCGTGGTGACAACAGGAGCGGCTTCACCGAGGCCTTACAGAAGCAAGACTTAGGCTCCTGTCGAGGACTTTTGCCTAGTATTATTCTGTGAATCGCCCCGAGACCTTCAGGTATAGGGCATTAGATAATTTCTAATAATAATAATACAGTCATACCTTGGAAGTTGAATGGAATCGGTTCTGGAAGTCTGTTCAACTCCCAAAACGTTTGGAAACCAGAGTGCGGCTTCTGATTGGCTGCAATCAGAAGCCGCGCCGGATGTTCAGCTTCCAAAAATCATTTGAAAACCAGAACATCCACTTCCAGTTTTCAGTTGTTCGGGAGTCAAAACATACGAGTTCCAAGGTGTTCAGCAACCAAGGTACAACTGTAATAATAATAGTAATAATACTAATAATACTAATAATAATAATTTTAAAAAAACACAAGTAGCCTCCCAAACACCATGTCAGACGTTCCATCCATCTAGTCTCATCTATTCTGCGAGGGGAGGGGGAATGTTAATCAGGGTCTAAACTATGAATGAATGAATGAACTAGCAACAGCTCTCCAGCCGAAGACCTCTGCTCCTTTTAGCTGGGAGATACTGGGAGACCAGAAATTGGGGCTTTCTGCATGGAAAGCAGGCAATCCTCTACAAGCCAAGAACATGCCTTGTGGGGGCGGAGGAAAGCGGGCATGAAAGGCAGCCTGAAAATGTTATTACTGTATGGTTTTCTACTTTTACATTGTTGTAAACTGTTGTAATATATTTCTATGATATAGCACTATATATTTTTGTAAGTAAAATAGATAAGACTAGAGGCGGAGCAACGCTACAACCATTAGGAGATGACTCAATGTTCCCGGGAAGGGGGTCCCTTGGCAAAGTCATTGTGCTGCATCCGGCACAAGCAGAGGGATGCTTGAGCAGAGACCACGAACAAGAACAGCAAGCGAACCCCAAGCACACCCATCTAGGCTTTGCCACCAGAACTAATGCGTTCTCCAAAACCCAGAGGTGACAATAAGCTGCGGTCGACCTCTATTCCTGCAGCCTCTGCAGATGCCCCAAATCGCCCCCTCTGAAACACACAAGCTGCACTTCAGGTGGTCGTGACAAGAATCCCAGAGACGCTTCCACTCCCTCTGGCCCTCCGGACCCAGCAGACCAGAGACTGAGACCCCCTTCTTGCCCTGCTTTGCGTGGTCCCTGTCCCCACGCCTGGCTGCCCAGCTCCCTCGGTCTGCCACTCTCCAGCCGCATCCTGAGCAGGGCCGCATTCAGGTTTCTGGCCCTAACAGGTATCTAAAGCCATTTGCACGTGCAGAATGGAGGCACCCTCTCTAAGACAGAGGCAGGCTGGCAGGCGGGGCCACCACTTACATCACAGGAGCTTACACAACACAAAACACGGCTGCTGGGTGCAGGTTTCAATTTATGTGCTTTTAATCTTATATTTTGGAAAAGTACACCCAGTTCCCCCCCCCCTTTTAATTTTTTGGGGGCCCCCAAGCTAGAGCTTGTTTAGCTTCTACGTTAACCCGGCCCTGATCCTGAGAAGCAGGAATGCCCTTCGCTCTGGCTGCCCCGCTCCAGCCCGGGCAGGGCCTCCCTGCCGGAGCCCCAGCCCTTCAGAGCCCCCTCGGGAGAAAAGCCGGCCTGGCAGCGGGGTCGCCAGGCTCCCCCCCCCCGGGACCTGCGGAACTCCCCGCCACGGGAAGGAGAGCGGCTCTCCGCCCCGCCCGCCGCCCAGTGACCCCTCGGGGGACGCGGTGACCTTGGGCCGCCCCCGTCGTGGCGGGGCGGGGCCTGGGGGCCGGCGGGGCGGGGGCGGCTCTTACCCGCGGGCGGGGCCCCCCGGGCAGGGGAGGCAGCAGGAGGCCCCCCCGGGATCGCGCCAGGCTCCGCGCCGCCGCCGCCGCCGCCGCCATCTTGCAGAGGAGCCGGCCAGCCCAGCCGACCACAAGGCACCGCGCGGCGGAAGAGGCGGGGACGGTCGGGCGTCACTTCCGGGAGGGGCGGGGCTTCCCGGTCGGAGGCGGCGGGAGGAGTCAGAAGGGACACTCAGGGGGCATCTAGTCCAGCCCCGGCCAAAGCGCCCGGGAGAGGTGGGCGCCCGGCCTCTGCTTGAAGGTCTCCCTTCCGCCGCCAGGCAGAAAGCCCTTCTGGGTGCCGAGGCGGCATCTCCTTCCTTGCCACTCGAAGCCCCGGGTTCGAGTCCTGCCCTCGGGAGCGGGAGAAGCGGGGCGGCCCTGGAGAGCCTGGCGGGCGGCCCTCCTCGGCTCCCCTTTCCCGGCTCCTTCAACGAGGCCTTATGAGGAGCGGCTAAGGGAGCTGGGCATGTTTAGCCTGGAGAAGAAGAGGTTAAGGGGTGATATGATAGCCATGTTCAACTATATAAAAGGATGTCACATAGAGGAGGGAGAAAGGTTGTTTTCTGCTGCTCCAGAGAAGCGGACACGGAGCAATGGATCCAAACTACAAGAAAGAAGATTCCACCTAAACATTAGGAAGAACTTCCTGACAGTAAGAGCTGTTCGACAGTGGAATATGCTGCCAAGGAGTGTGGTGGAGTCTCCTTCTTTGGAGGTCTTTAAGCAGAGGCTTGACAACCATATGTCAGGAGTGCTCTGATGGTGTTTCCTGCTTGGCAGGGGGTTGGACTCGATGGCCCTTGTGGTCTCTTCCAACTCTATGATTCTATGAACCGCTCCTCGTCAGGCGGGGCTCCCAGTCCCTTCCTCGTCTGGGTCGCCCTCGGAGCTCCGCTGTGGAACTCCCCCCCACGCGAGGAAGAAGCCCCCTGGCCACGAACTCAGGCGCATTAAGAGAGGACCAGGCAAATTCATGGAGGAGGAGGAGGAGGAGGAGGGGAAGCAGTCATGCTGGGGCTCTGGCGGCTTTTCCCTCGGGGCCCCGGGGAGGCTGGACTCGAGGGGCCCCTTGGCCGGATCCAGCCGGGGCTCTTCTTCCTCGCTTCCTATGCCAGGCCGGCTTTTCTATTGTTCCCGGAAGTGTAAGCTGCGTGTCACTCTTCATAGCTGTAGCTCTATGGGGAGGGCGAAAGAATCCCCATAGAGCTATAAAATACAGAAGAGGTGCGGATGGGACGCTTCCGCGTTGAGCTGGAGAGGCGCCGCTGAGTCTTTTCCTCCGCGGGAAGCGGGAGGGGGGCCGCCCAATGACAGCCCTGCAGTGCTGCCCGCTTGGACTCTCGCCCAGCTCCCCTTGCGGGAAATGCCAGTCGGAGAGGAGCCGCTCTATAGTGTCCCCTCCTTGCGCTTTCTAGGTCCCCTCTAGGAACGGCGTGCTCCGTGGCTTTAACTCCTTAATGACCCTCGTAGGGGTGGGCCCATCACCTGGCAAATAGAAGGGGAACAAATGGAGGCAGTGAGAGATTTGACTTTCTTGGGCTCCATGATCACTGCAGATGGTGACAGCAGCCACAAAATTAAAAGACGCCTGCTTCTTGGGAGAAAAGCAATGACAAACCTAGACAGCATCTTAAAAAGCAGAGACATCACCTTGCCAACAAAGGTCCATATAGTTTTGGACCATAGCTCTGGTTTTCCCAGTAGTGATGTATGGAAGTGAGAGCTGGACCATAAAGAAGGCTGATCGCCGAAGAATGGATGCTTTGAATTATGGAGCTGGAGGAGACTCTTGAGAGTCCCATGGACTGCAAGAAGATCAAACCTCTCCATTCTGAAGGAAATCAGCCCTGAGTGCTCACTGGAAGGACAGATCGTGAAGCTGAGACTCCAAGACTTTGGCCCCCTCATGAGAAGAGAAGACTCCCTGGGAAAGACCCTGATGTTGGGAAAGATGGAGGGCACAAGGAGAAGGGGACGACGGAGGACAAGATGGTGGGACAGTGTTCTCGAAGCTACCAGCATGAGTTTGACCAAACTGCGGGAGGCAGTGGAAGACAGAAGTGCCTGGCGTGCTCTGGTCCAGGGGGTCACGAAGAGTTGGGCACGACTAAACAACAAGGGGTGGAAAAGGAGCCCAGCCAGCTGCCTGCTAGACCCAGCTGCCCATCCACCTCAGTACTGCCGACACTGACCAGCAGCAATGGCTCGCCAGGGCTTCAGGCGGGAGCCTCTCACCTTCCCCAGCGCCTCCTTTCGTTGTACCTGAAAAGGGAGTCAGTGGAGTCAGGATGTGCTGCTTCTAAGTCTTGCCTTGCAGCCCCAACCCTCTGCTCCCTCAGCTCAGGCTGGCAGAGGCACAGGGAGAAATCTGCCCAGGAGCAGCTGAGGCTCCTGCCCACGGGACCTTAGGCTGAAGGGCAGGTGCACATTCCTGGCCCAATTCAAAGTGTGTAGTGGCTTCCTGTCTGTGAAATGCTCTACCCCCAGGGAGCTTCGCCTGACACCTTCATTAAATGCCTTTAGATGCTAGGCAAAAACGTTCTTCCACTAGGCCTTGGGCTGCATAACGTCCGATACCCTTTTAAATGTGTGTGTGGGGGGGTGTCTTGGTTTGGTTTGTTCTTTTTTTATAGAGTGAGAGAATCTTGTATTTTTCTGTTGGTGAACCACCCTGAAATCTATGGATGAAGAGCAGTATACAACTTTAATTAATAAATAATAAAATAAAAATAAAAATCTCTAAGCTGTGTACAACATAAAACCAACCAGTATTGTTAGAACAAAACCCAGTAGCATTACAACAAAAAGACAACATGAAACCAGTGAAACTGCAGCAGTATAAACGCATGCCCTGTCATCTGGAGCTGATGGGAGTTGCACTCCAGCCACATCTGCAGGGCCAAAGATGTGCCCCACCCCCGTTATAACGGGACCAGCTGCTGCTTTGCTTTACTCTTTTAATACATCTTAAGTTCAAGGTTATGGTTGTGATACGGAAGGAGAAGGGGGGGCAACCATCCTCCCTCCATCGCTTCCTGAACGGGCCCGAGGCGATGACCTCGACAGTGCCCAACTCTGCCTAGAACCCTCAGCCCCCACATCGTTGCACAAGCACCACACTATACCCCTGCCTTGTTAATAAAAGGCTCCTTTTCCTTTCTCTATACGGGCGAAATAAGCCCCGATCTTGTCTATGCCTTCCTCTCGCCCTATTCCTAACGTGAGTAGACCGCATCATAATGAAACTCCATTCACTATACTGAGCTCCGCTCTAGCCAATCACAGCCATGCATTCGCCCTGCAGGAGCTAGCTCAAGGAGCTACTGCACGCCTCATTTCACTCCTGACAAGCTGCTGACGGCCCCCCACTGCGAGAACAATGGATCCGAAACCAGGGACCTCGTAAAACTGTCAAAATCCGGTTACAATGTATCCATTCTGTTTCCGTTTGTCAGAATCTTGTTACAATGTATCCATTCTGTTTCTGCTATTGCCCTATAGTACGGAATGGGTTTGAAATCATTGAAATCTTTAGAAATTGATATAAAATCAACCGTAACTCCGATTTCCTCACTTCTGGTGTCATTCAACTCAGCTCCCTTTGGACTCCATGATGCTGTCCCTACTGCCATAATCCCCAAAGTGGCAGGTCACGTACACAGGAACTTCTAAATCCTGTCAGATCGTTTCGCCAAACCCTTCCTCCGGGCAATACGAAGTGGCAGACGATGCAAATCTCTAGCCCATTGTCTTGCCACCACCGGTACTCAATAAATGTTTATCTATGTACATTTCTTCGCTCTGCATATTCCCCCCTCCTCCGAAATGCTAATGAATGTAACCCCACCTTTTCTTTATCTATTCATGACGTGTAAAATATATTCATGATGTAACTCACGAAGCCCAACCTTCCCAAAATGTATTCATGACGTTTCCTGCACTGTATTCTGGGTTATGGAGGGAACTTTTAAAAGTCTATGTCACCCCACTCTCGGGGTTCAATGCCAGTTTGAACCTGTTGCGCAATAAACTTTGGGTCTCCGCAGTTTGCTCCTGTGTCCGGCTGAGCTTACTTTTCCCGCTAGGACCCGCGGACTTAGTCCGACGAGCTGGGTGGCAGGGGCAACTCCGTACCCAGATTTTAGCCGTAACAGTTGGCGCCCAACGTGGGGCGGGCGGTTCTCCCGTGTTGCTGACCGGGGGCCCCGAAATCTTCAGCCGGCTCCGGGCCCTTTTGCCTGGGAAGATCCTTTGGACCCCCGGCCATCTTCCGGGCGGTAATCAAACGTCCCAAGAGTTCAGCTGGGGAGCAAAGGGACATCCAGCCGGCTTCTTCGATCCCGGGATCAACGTTGAAGACGCGTGAGTATAGGGGAAGAAATCCAGTGCACTGGTGGGAAGGGGGTGGAAGTCTCCTGGCAACTGAATTCTCTGCCCTCCTCTCTATCGCTCCTTCTTGCCTTTCTCTTGGTCCGGTTAGTGAGAGAGACCGTGGACCGCCGCTCAACCCGAAAGGGGGGTTCTGAGCTCTATCCCTTTTCCTTAAAATCTCCAGCCAGCCGCACCAATTGGGAGCCCGAAAGTAAGACGGAGAGACCCGACTTGAAAGATAGCCGACTCTCTGCAACGGGCATCCCAGTTGAAAGCAAGGGGTTGGAGCTCTCTTTCCGAACTTCTCTAGCGCCCGGCAAGGGGGCGGGAAGTGGTCTTGCTTTCTGTCACCAATCCCAGCCGCACCGGTCGGGCCACGTAACACGTGTATCGTGCGTGAGCCCGCTTCCGAAAGCAAGGGGGATTTTCCGTTCGAAAACCTGTCCGGGGACCACCCGATCTGGCATCGCACTGTGCGAGCGTCCAGTAGGGCCCCTTTTCCTGAGAGTGTGACGATAGGTAGGAGGTTGCCAGGAGGGATTGCCCATGAGGAATTGGGCGGGAACCGGCAGAGTGGAAGAAAACCCCAGGTTATAGGAAATAGGAGTGGAAAAAAAAAGAATAAAAGATATCGGAAAGGGAACATAAGAAACCAGGCAGATAGAGCTCTCAAAACCTTCGCGAAGGAAGTTGCTAAGCAGCTAGAGACCCCCTCCTT